TGTTCTGGAAACACCCATGGCACAATGATGTGCAGCTGAAGCCCTTCARATGAGCTGTGCTGCACTCAGTGCTGGAGTAGCTAGCTCATCCATCCATGTTTAGATCAATCTAAGTATTGTTTTGAAATTAAAGTATCTGGTTTTTGTTGCATGTTTTCCACCTGCTGTTCTTTTTCTTGACAGGGTTGGCCTATGTATGCCCAGTTGTTGATCGATCTATTCAAGTACTTGGCTCCTTTCCTTAGGAATGTGGAACTCACCAAACCTATGCAAATTCTTTACAAGGTAAAAAAATGTCAATAGATGCTTCCAATCAAACTTGTCTGAAAGTAGAGGCATTCTCGCAGCAAAATAGAATTATCTGTTGTCTTTGAACTTACGTCTTGAAGTTGAATGCAAATTGTGGGGGAAGCAGACTGCCTTCCCACATTAGTTTCCTTCTGGTGATGCTAGCCACATGACACAGAACGATGGCTCTGCAAACTTTTGGAGTTTCAACAGTTACACACTTCTTATATTTAATATTTTATTTCACAGGGCACTCTGCGTGTGTTGCTGGTCTTGTTGCATGATTTCCCAGAATTTCTTTGTGACTACCACTATGGGTTCTGTGACGTGATCCCACCTAACTGTATTCAGCTAAGGAATCTAATCCTGAGTGCCTTCCCACGGAACATGAGGCTTCCAGACCCTTTCACCCCCAACCTAAAGGTAGGACTTACTTTAAGGAGTTTGGTAACAGAAAATGATTTCAGAGTTAAAAATACTCTTTGTCTAGGTTAATATTATCTAATTAAATCTTTGGGTGTATGTTAGGCAGCTAATTCTGGAATGATTAGAAGGGAACTTTCTCACACTGCTAAAGCACTGTTGTTCTTTGCCTGAGCTGTACAGGTTGATGGGAACAAAGCTGCAGCACTCATTATCGCTGAAGAAGACTCTACTCTCCAGATAGAGTGTCTGGAGAGTAGATAGGGAAACCCCAAAGGCAGTGGCTGAATTTCCCTACGGCCTTCACCCTTTATTTTTTTTTTGTCTTCTCTATTCTTCAAGACATCATGTAATAAGTTTGCATGTTAGGGACTAAATTTCTTCTGAAATCTTCAGAAGGCCACTGTTGCCATTTCATTGATGGAATGAAAAGTGATCAACAGCAGTAGTTGTAACATCACTTWCAGATCTGCTTTTCCAATTTGTTCCATTGCTGATGGATTTTCTAACTGGATTTTCTGCCAACAGGTGGACATGCTGAGTGAGATTAATATTGCTCCACGAATACTCACAAATTTCACTGGCGTGATGCCACCTCAGTTCAAGAAAGACTTGGATTCCTATCTCAAAACCCGTTCTCCAGTCACCTTTTTGTCTGACTTGCGAAGCAACCTACAAGTAAGTTGGATGCTTTTGAGGTTTCTSTAGGTGCTCAATTTAAATAATGTAGACTTGAGGTCTGAAGTTGAACTTCCTCAGAGCATCATGTAGACAGAAACATTCGCACAGGGGGGTGTTTCAGACAGCCTCTGGCACTGCCGGTGAATTCTCATTGCCTTACCTGATGTTTTCCTTAAGGCAGAGAGTGAAAAAAAAAATCAGTTGTGTCAACCCTTTGCTGATGCTTTTGAATATATATATATACACACATATATACACTTATGCATATATGCACTGTAATATATGCTTTCTAATATATGCTGTGTTAAAAAAAGGGTAAATGCCAAATTGAATTTGTGGGTGTCCCAGTGTGTTGTKTTCTGGATGGTCATTGAGATACTTGGATGCTGCTATAGCTTTGAGTGCTGAAGGAATATCGACTGTTAATGCTTTTCCTGTCTTTGCTATTAGGTATCAAATGAACCTGGCAACCGCTACAACATCCAGCTGATTAATGCWCTGGTGCTCTATGTTGGTACTCAAGCTATTGCACACATTCACAACAAAGGCAGCACACCCTCTATGAGCACCATTACCCACTCAGCTCACATGGACATCTTCCAGAATTTGGCAGTAGACCTGGATACTGAAGGTGAGCTGSAAACACTGCTAGTTCATATGATGTCATATTTACAGCAAGTCTACACTCACCTTAAAAAGATCATTGAGATGCTGGAGTGTGTCCAGCTAAAGGCAACAAGGCTTGGGAAAGTTCTAGAAAACATGTCTTGGGAGGARTGGCTGAKGGAGCTAGATTTGTTCAGTCTTGAGAAGAGCAGGCTCAGGGGGACCTGAGCTCTGAAAAGATGTTTTTGTGAAGTAGGTGGTCTCTTCTGTCATGCCTACTGTGAGAAGACAAGAGGAAATGGCCTTAAGCTGTCACAGGGAAGATTCAGATTAGATATTRGAAAAGGWTTTTTCACTGTTAGGATGGTCTGATGTTGAAATAGGCTCCCCAGGAAGGTGGTGGAGTCACCATCCCTGGAGGTGTTKAAGAGACATCTGGATCTGGCACTGGATGATGTGATTTTAGTGGTAATGGGATTACAGTGGTAGTGCTGGGTTGGTGGTTGGACTTAATAAACYTAAAGGTCTCTTCCAGYCTTGATGATTCTGTGATTTCATGTAGCTGAWAGTGAATTCACAGAAAGGAATGCTACATTAGAATATTAAACTATTGAATATTGGATCAATTTTAAAACTGAAAGTTCAAAATATTCAGGGGAATTAGAAATGCCTTTAATGAAGCAGAATTGAATTCTTACTTCTCCATCAGCCTGGGTTGGTACAGCTTTTACATATCTTCAGYTGGTTTTGTTTCTTGTACATCCATAAGGCTCCCAAACGTTAACCTCAGGCACTACTGGTTGTTTCTTTATTGCCCTTGGTGTGTAAGGGAAGCCATGTGTACTCAGTGTTCTCTCCTGCAGGCCGGTACCTGTTCCTGAACGCCATTGCCAACCAGCTGCGGTACCCCAACAGTCACACCCACTACTTCAGCTGCACCATGCTCTACCTGTTTGCAGAGGCCAACACAGAGGCTATCCAGGAGCAGATCACCAGGTCAGATGGACAGTATTTAAATTGCCAACATTCAGATTTTTGCTTTCCTTCCTTCTGTGCTTTGGATCTTTGAGCTCTAACTGTTCCTACTTTTGAATTTCAGGGTTCTCTTGGAACGACTGATTGTAAATAGGCCTCATCCCTGGGGTCTCCTTATCACTTTCATTGAGCTGATAAAAAATCCAGCATTTAAGTTCTGGAACCATGAGTTTGTTCACTGTGCTCCAGAAATTGAGAAGTAAGTATAACTTAACGACAGAGTCATTAAAATGGTATCTCTGAAGCAGTTGCACCTTGATTTTCTGATGCTGACAGCATCCATTTGCTGCCATAAATGCACTACCTTTGCTTTGCTTCCATGTGCAGGTTGTTCCAGTCGGTTGCACAGTGCTGCATGGGGCAGAAGCAGGCCCAGCAAGTCATGGAAGGGACTGGTGCCAGTTAGATGAGCTGCATCCTGCCTCATACGAGTGCCAGCCTGGAGGTCCCGTCCCATCGACTGACTGAAGACTCTGTAAGGCTCCTCCTGACCTTCCCAGCCCCCTTGATTGGGTAGACACAACAGACCCTGGGTGAAAGTCTTATGTGGGCATGTTCCAAAGTTTGAAAAAATTTTTTGGATTTTGGCCAAACTTCAGAAGATGCTGTGAATATCATTTGAACTAGTGTAAATACAAGGAACAGAAACATTTGTCTGGACTTTTGGGTTTGTGCAAATTGTGTAAAAGGCAGGTGGGTAACTGGTGCCTGTCCATCTTGTAATAAAGGGGCAGCTGCTGATGCCAAGCACTTGTCTGGGGCAGACCTCCTTGTCCTGACATTCCCAGACTCCCAAAGAATATTGAAGAGCCAGTAACTTATTTTTCTTTATGTGGACGAGGGACCTTTAAATCACTAAGTTGTTTAAAAGAAAAAAGTGGATGTGTTTGGAATATGGGAATTCTATGGAATACAGGAGGGGTGAGGGAGGGGTTAAGGTTCAGTGTTGCTTTCCCCTCACCCTCACCAAATGCTGATAGACAGCAAGTGGAGTGGTAGTCAGAGAACGCCTCCTTTTTGTTGGAGAAGAAACAGGCCCTTTGGGTGAGGGTCAGCTGTTTTCAGTAAATAAACCAGAGACCAGGCCTATAGCTTCTTTTTTTTTTTTTTTTTTTTTTTTTT